GTCACCGGGATGTCCGTAGACCTGAACTACTCAGGAAAGAAGCTGATAATATGCAGCATTTGCATTGGCACGGCGAGTGATGCAAACGTAGGATTTCGTTTCTGCGACGACAATGGAGTATTACAGCCCATGCGCGCTAAGACAAACAACAGAAAGCCCGTGCATTTCTCAGTAGAACCGACCGACACCAGCGCCGAAAATCTCTCGGTTTGGACTTTTCACATGGTTGCCGATTGCTATGGGAAGGTAAAGTTGCAAATACGCGTAGATGACACGGCGTCGGCTACGGTAAATAGCATAGAAGATCAGAGGGATCGGCCTTATAATCACGCGACCATCAGCACTCTTACGGTGTTAAGCCTCTAAGATGACGCCTTTGGTGCCTAGAATATATGAACCCACACATAAAGGAATATTGGTTTCTTCATGACTTAGAGGAGAGAAAGTACGAAAATGATAATTGGTACGACACCGGATTGTGGGTGAAGGTTGGGGGTTTAGGAATAATAATATGTACTATTAGCATTAACACGGGGTACTCATGCAATGCCGGCTTTAGAATCCTAGACGAGACCAATACGCCATTGCCGCCTTATAGGACAAAAGGTAATAGGCATTCAGTCCATTTTTCGTCGGAACCCAATCCATTTAGCGGAGAAGATCTAACGCCCATGACTTTTCATATGATAGCTAATTGTCAATATGCAAAGCTTCAAGTTCGCCCCAGCGATGCAGCCAACTCTGGCGCCAACCCCGGCAACCTCCGAATAAATGGTAAGTTTGAAACGGCTGTAGACGCTGCTTGGTGTCATAAGGCCAATAGCACCATGAGCGTCTTACCTTTAGTACCAAATTATCAGCCCGGGGCTAATACCATATTTACTTATCCCCAGCCGAGAATGCCCAGGGCAACCAATGAAAAGGGCAAGAAACCATCTGAGAAGGCGGCGCCTGTCGGATAGGAGTTACCTCTTCATCTTCTTCAGGAGTACCACTCCAATAGCTACTACCAGGATCCAGATGTTATTCCCCACGAACTTCAACAGTTCCCCGCCGGTCTTAAGCACCAAGCTAAGAACACTACCAAGCAGCCCAGGAAGACCGGCTGCCATTTTTTTTCCTAAGTCCGTCAGTCCATTGCCTAATTTCTTTACGCCTGCGCCTGTAGCCTTAAGCGCGTTAAGGATTACTCCTACTACGCTTGAAATAGCAACCGCAAATGCCAGAGGAACGCCATACTTCAAAAGGGCTCTTTTACCTTTTCCTTGGTGGTAAGCCCCAGCTCCTTTTCCAGGTTGTCCTTTTGCGCCCGCAATTCCGCAACTTCTTCCCTGAGGGCTTCTACTTCCTTTTGAAGAGCCTCCCTTTCCTCTTCGGGTCGAGTTAGGTCATTAATTATTTCCTGTTTTTCGGCTAAGCTCCTTTCCAGATCTTCGATGGCCTGATCTCTTTGCCGGATTTGTTCTTCTTTAGTATTGAGTTCGGCAACTAACTGCCGCCGTTCCTCCAAAGAGCCGGTTATGATGGTACGCAAGTTTTTGGCTTCTTCCTTGCTCATATTCAGGTCTTGCAGGGCAAGATCGAAGGCCTTTTCAGCTTGGTCTCTTTCGCGTAGGGCGTCGTCTCTTTGTTCTCTAATTTGCATTATTCTTTGATTTTTGTCATCAAGTTCTCTCTTTTGAGCATCGAGGAGTAGTTGGTTTTGTCTCATGTATTCTGCTTTCCTTTCTTCCAACGTTTCTTGCAGCTCCTCGGCGCGTTTTTCTAACGCAACCCTCTCATTCAGGTTTTCCAACCTTTCTAACAGGCTTCTAGTGGCACGCTGGAAGCCTTTTAATCTTGTCACATCGCCCCTAATTTCGCCATCCTCATCAAAGAGGGGTTGTGGTTTCGTCCAGCGGTTCTTATCGGGAAATCTCAGGTCTTGGACGCTTATAAGGACTTTGTTTCCGCGTTCTGTGAGCCTTACGTCGTCAGCCTCAAAGCGGGAATAGCGTTGACTTAGCTCTTGCGTTGCCCACTCTACGGTTTCCCGCGCGGTTGCTTCGTCTATGTCTTGAAGTTCCAAGTACTCAGGGACGGGGCCGCGGTTCTTTGATTGCCACATGCGATTCAAGGCTGCCTTGAAGCTTTTCCACCTACTACCGTACTTGTTTTCTAGGGCTGCGTCGTACATTAGGGGGTCGGTCTCCGCGCCTCGGGTCCATGCGTCGAATTCTTCATCGTTAATATCAACTTGACCTTCTTCGGTAAGGGGATCAAAATCCGTTCCTTCTACTTCCATTATATATGATAAGCTCAAAGTTAAATCCCAACGTATTACCTAAGCAGGTTGGCGGGCTGAAAGCAGAACGCACTTTTCATCGGGTCACCTTTACCCCTAGCAGCGCAAAACCAGGAGAAACCTTGTACGTAGGCGTGCCCCGTCTAACGGATAACCTAGTTTTAGTTCCTGGCACCTTGGCGCTAAGGTTTGACCTGGCAATACAACCAAGTACCAAGGACAAGCGCTATACCGTCAATAACGTAGGCAGGAACCTCGTCTCTAAGATGAGAATCAAGTTCGCTGGGGAATCCCTCTTGGACTTGAACAGGTACGATTTGTATGCCACGTATAAGGATCTGTGGCTAACAGCCTTTGACCGTGCACAAAAGATAGAGCAGGGAATCGGTAGTGTTATCCTTCGTAAGCTTCGCAGCGATACCAACCCGGCGCCTACGGACTCCAGCGGAGCAACCGCAGTGGCAGACGCAACGAGGATAAAGACCGCCTATGGTAGCAAGTACGTCATCCCGTTGGACTTCGAAGTAATTACGAGTCATGGCGTGTACTACCCCAGGCAGTTATCCGAGTTACAGTTTGAAGTAACCTTGGCGGACACTACAAACGTCATTGGAGGCATGGACAGCGCAATTAGCGGGGCTGTTGATCCCTATTCTATCACTAACTTAGAGCTGCAGTATGAGACCGTGTACAGCGAAGAGCTGGCCCGTAGCGCTGGCATGGAATATAGCGCCGGAAAGGCATTCCTTTACGACCACGTAGTAATGTACAAGACATTTAGCTTTCTGGACAAGACGGACGAGGTTATCAATCAAAGTATTAACCTCCCACGAAGAAGTCTCACGGGGTTAATGCTGGTGTTTGCCAAACCCTATGAGGCCGGCAAGCACGACTCCGAAGCCTTTCATAACCCCAACATTACTAACGTGGGGATAAATGTCAACGGCGTCCCAAACAAGGTCTACTCCCAGGGAATAAAACCCGCAGACGTGTACAGGGAGGTAATGCGTACGTTTGGCGACCAAATTAGCCCTGAGGAATTCTTTAAGGATAAATACGCGCTGTGGATCGACATGCGCACGACCAACGATGAAGATCTACATGGTCAGGGTCTGCGGCTGGTCAACACCCAGGATGGTATTACTTTGGAGATCAAGCGCACCAAGAATGCTGCTGCGGGCGACGGCGATAAGATAAACTGCTACGTCTTCGTCGTGTCTGACGCGCAGCTAAGCATAGAAAGGAACCAATTGAAAAGCGTTGCATATTAAAATATCTTGCTAATATACCATGTTGCGGGTATTCGAACAAGGCAACAACGAGCTGCAATGCATAGTGCAAGGCGATAAACTGTACTTTAAAGCGAAGTCCGTGGCTTTATCATTAGAGTACGCAAACTCCAGAAAGGCCGTATCAGATCACGTATCAGAGGAAAACAAGGTAACCCTAGAGTCTATAAGGGGTGTAACTCAGAATGACACCCTTAACGCGCAGCCACACTCCGTGTACTTGACGGAAGAGGGCCTCTATGAATTGGTATTCGGATCTGAAAAGCCTATAGCTAAGAAGTTCCGTAAGTGGGTGCTTGGTGATGTCCTACCCACGTTGAGGAAGACGGGTAAGTATGAGATCGAAAGGCGGTTTAACGGGCCAAACAAATTGGTATTCAAGATCGAAAACGAATTCGACCTGCATAAGAAGGTGGTGCATTACATCCGTAAGTATCACCCCTACATGCGCATAGTACCCGGCCTGGGCGAGCTGCAGGACTCAGATGGCAAGCGCATAAAGTGCTGGCAGAAGGGTTACCAACGCGGCCAGCCAGATCTGTTGATAGACAACCGCCACGTGAAGTATCGAGGCCTTTGCATAGAATTGAAGACCCCTAAGGGTAATGGAGTTCTCTCCGAAGATCAAAAGCGCCTATTAAGCGACTACCAGGACGACGGCTTTAAGGCGATGGTGAGCAACGGCTACGACGACATTTGCCGCACCATAGATGCCTACGCAAGGGGTATTAGAATGCGCTGCAAGCTCTGTAAGAAACGTCAGTTCCACCCTACGTCTTTAAAAACGCATTTAACTAAATTCCATTGGTATAATGAAGATCAGGCAAGTGCAATGGCGCGAATTAAGTGAAGGCGTTGCATATGAAATAAAAAATTACGTTGTCTTCGAGGACATCAACCGCTTGCGGCTGGTCTTGAAAGACGACAACGGTGTAGAGTATTCACTGTGGGCGCCCGATCGCGTCCGTTATGTCGTCCAAGGCGAAGAGTTCACGCACTTACGCTCGCACGGTAAGCAGGATGGTAGATGGGTCTTTGACGTTGAAAGGAGGGTCGCTCCTTCACCTCTTTGTAGTTAAGCGCTGCACCAATGGTCGTCGCCTAAGTAGGCGTGGCGGCAGTAGAGACAGTCATACCTTCGCTCTGCGACGAGGGTGACTCTTTTTTTTTAACCTGCTTGACGCGCTCCTTAACTTCTATGACCTCGGGGGTAATTATACAGTCGTTGGATATCTCGCAGGTAATACAGTCCATATATACTAGGGAACAAGCCCTTCGTTAGAAGGCGCCCTGAAATGTTAAGATTTGGTTAGGATTTTGTTAAATGGGGGATATCTTAAGAGGTTGCCTCAGAATGTTAAGATTTGGTTAGGATTTTGTTAAATGGGGAATATCCTAAGAAGTGGTCTCAGAATGTTAAGATTTGGTTAGGATTTTGTTAAACAGTTGAAGATGTGTTCCTCCTCCCTTATGCATCCGCATCTCCCACACTCAGACCTCCAATATTCCCTGTTGGTCCATGGAACGCCCTCAACGACGTCAAAGCGGGGAAATGCCCTGCCTATCTCATTAAAGTAATCTATCCTATCTTTAAGGTAGTCATCTTTGTGTTCACAACAACTCATCAGATCCCCGCACTGGTAACAATCCACCCCATCTAAGCTGTAGTCTCTTGAAAGGTGTTTATACGCCCCATCGTGTCTTTTCCTATGCGTTCGAAGACGTTGGTAACTACTAAAGATTTTACCACAATAACTACATTCAGTCGTCCTACGACAAACCCCATTTTCGATATGGTATCGTAGCTTTTGAGGGGTGCTGAACTCCTTATTACACACCCTACAGGTCTTACCTACCAATCTCCTTATGCAAACCCCATTCCTAATGTGGTATTGCAGCCTTTGCTTTGTACTAAACACCCTCTTACATCTGAGACAGTCCATATATATTTAACAATATCCTAACCAAATCTTAACATTTCAGTGGACTTCCTTAGGATATTTGACATTCCATTTAACAAAAAACTAACCAAATCCTAACATTTCAGGGTCGCTTCTTAGAATATCCCGACGCCCCATTTAGATGACCTTTGAAATGTCCTAACACCCCGCTTAACAAAAACCTAACCAAATCTTAACATTCTGAGACCACTTCTTAGGATATTTGACATTCCCATTTAACAAAATCCTAACCAAATCCTAACATTTCAGATGGGATACCTCATAAAGTCCTTCACGGACTCCTTAGCCCACGTTGCCATCGTTACCAGCGCGCCAAACCGCTCTACGCGCTTCAGACCGCACATTTCATCATAAAGCTCCTTTACGCGTCCATTCAGCCGGTCTATCTCCTCCCTTTGCATCTCGACCGTCCTTTCCAGGTCTGACTTCCTTTTGACGACGTTGACCATTGCTTTGACTGCTTCCACTGGTTCCATATATATCAGGGAACAAGTTCCCTTCGAGAGAAGGGATATAATGGAGCCAGATCACATGCCTTGTAATGCGCTGATAGTAGGACCCACCGGCTGCGGAAAGACCCAGTTTGTCGTGGAGCAGCTATTAGGACCCTTTAGATACCGATTTGACTACATAGTGCTGCTGTGTCCCACCTACGTGAACAACCGCACCTGGACGGGCGTAGGCGCGAAAGATGACGACTTCTTTGTGGCTATTTTGGACCCCAATGAGTTATCTGGACATCTTAAGTTTTGGCACAAACAATTCCCTAAAGATACGCAAACCTTGCTCATACTGGACGACATTGCCTGCGGGGATGACGTAAAAAGACGCACCTCCGAGCTCGTTAAACTCGCCTTTAGCGGCAGACATGACAATATCAGCGTTTGGTTGCTCTCGCAGCAGCTTACCAGCGTCTCTAAGCCCTTTAGGGAAAACATAGGTTCACTTGTCGTATTTTATACTCCAAGTAAGTCTGACCTGGAAACCATCTTAAGCGACTACGGCGGCGAGATAAGCAAGGAACAGTTACGCGAATACATGCGGCATTTAAAGACGCACCATTATTCCAAGATAATCTTCTCTTTGAGGTTTCCGTATTTAGTAAAGATCTGCGATCTTTGATTCCTAATGTATATGGAGATTGAGCAGTTGATAGAAGTCCCCACACAGCTAGATGAAAGTAACCTTAAGGAACAACTTAACATCCTCGTGTCTTCGGGGAAGTGCAAGGAAATGATAGGCAAGGAACTTACCCATGAGCAAGTTAACAAGTTGTCAGAGGAGGAAGTTAAGAAGTTCCATAAGAGGTATGAGGCTGCCCTTGCAAGTAAGACCACGGACGCCATAGCAGACTCCGCTATTCGACTTGCCACCAAACTCCTTGGACTTGCGCTGCCCATAGACGACGTGGAGCAACTGCGGAAGGACATAAGCGAGGACTATGTCATCGCCCAAGAACTTAAGATAACCTGCGGGTGGTTATCTTTGAAGTGCGGTAAGTTAATGGCAGTCGCCTCTGCGGCTTTGCACGTAGCTCAGCATGTCGACTTGAAGGAACTTGCGACGTCTTGGAAGGACTTCAAGAAGGACAGAGAAGTCGAAAGGGTATTCCAGGCAGCACTTGCTGAGGTACCTGATCAAGTCGCCTCAAGTCCTTCTTAAGTACTTACTTAAGTCATTCTCAAGTACTTGGTCAAGTCATCCTTAAGTACTTAGTCAAGTCATCCATAAGTTACTTATCAAGTCGCCCTAAGTACTTATCAAGTCCTTCAAGTCCTTAGATATAAATGAGCGAACCAGAGCCGAAGGTAGAGCAGCCCCAAGAGGAGCAACGAATCACCAAGGCTAAATCTCCAGGCAGAGTTGCCGCGGGGAAGAAGCTCGCGGAAATGAACAGGAAGAACAAAGCCAAAAAGGAAGAAAAGGTGGAGGAAAAAGAAGAGGAATCCCTTATTAATCCTGGGTACGTCATCGGCGCGTTGGGAGTTGCTATAGCAGCAGGCAGCCTCTACTTACAATGGCGGGCTACGAAGCCAAAAGTAGAACCCGTACATGTGACGCAGGAGCCCCCTAAGAGAAGCAGGATCCCCGTAATGGAATAACCTTCTAGCTCTGTAATATAATGTCAACCGCGTTATTGAAAACTGTTGAAGAGGCAGCTATTATTACCTCCATTGTTGCGGGTGTTGGTTCGGTAGGTAAGAAAGTGCTCAAAGAAGACTTTACTGAAGACCCAAGCAAGAGCTTCGCTAACTTCGCTGAGATGACGCTGCCGTGGGCGGGGCCATCATGGTAAAGGATTACCTACGGAAGGAAAAGTACCTGCCTAACATATAAATGGCTAGTTTGATCGCAGGCGGAGTTATCGCAGCTTTGGCATTCACTGGAGCTAATTATGGCGGTCAGTATTTGGATAGGTTGGTCAGAGGTGATCGCAGCGGAGAATCGGCTGCCGAAAGAAAAAGACACGACTTAGCGCTGGAAAAGTACCAAAGGGACGTGGCGGCTTGGAATGAAAAAAGACAAGCTTACAGGGATTGGTTGGATAAGAACTACCAAGACAAAATGCAGGCGGATAAGAACTTTGAAAATACAGACTACGCCTTTAAGCTCTATGCGCAAGCACACCCCGACTTTAGAATGAGAAAGCCCCAGTTTAAGAATTACTACCAGCCTTCTAAGAAACAAAACGACAATGAGTTGGTCTTCGTAGGAGTCGCAGGGCTGGCGGGAGGCGTAGCTTTGGCGTATCTAATATAATGATCGTCTTTTTGGAAAGCGATAAAAATAACTTTACCACTTATTTGAATCCCCCCATCAAAGCCCATAAGGTTCGGCTGGTTAGTTGTTCTTTGTACAATTCTTGGTATAATTTAGTCAATGCCTTGGTCACCGTACTTAAGACGCCTGGCAATTATCAAGGTGAAATGCTGCCTGATGGACATTACACGCCAATCACCCTTGCCAAGGAGCTCGCCAAGCGCGGTTATACTCTCACCACGGGATTGCCGCACGAAATGACCCTCAAACATAATATGCCAAACTATTCAGTAACTTTTGGAAAGTTTGACCCATTGGGGTCATTATTATGTGCCTCGGGCAAGACAATTACCAACACGGCCATACCCGTGAAATGGAAAGTCGCATCCTCTTACGAAGTCTATTGCGACTTGGTCCATAGTTACAACAATGGAGAAAAGTCTTCTCTCATGTCCAAGTTTCTGCCCAAAGGTAATCCATTTGACC